TAATCCTTGCGTCTAAACTCAGCGTTTGCACTTGCTTGCTGGCTTCATAATAGATTTTTCTGCAAGAGCCTCTCAGTTCATCCCTTTTCATGGATTGGTGATTTGTGCAGTGAGGTGTGGGAGACAGGAGGGTGCTGGCTTAGTACGGAGGGGAAACGAGGTCTTGTCCTGATGTGGTCTCTGTGACGCAGACTCTCCAAAGTCCCTCGCAGGTCAGAGATTCTTGCATCTGGATCATTAATAAGAATTAGAATTTAAGTTATATTTGAACAAGTGAGGGTGAGCGAGTGAGCTCCTTTTAGAAAAACAGCTTTCACGATTCTGTAAATAAAAACTGATAGACCCAGTTTGGGATCTTTCCAGAAACGTTATTCCAAGCTATTTATTTTAGGTTCCTATTTTAAGGTTGTTTTTGGCAAAAGCAAACCAAAGGCACTCAACTGCTTTCTGTTCTCTAGTAGGAAAATCTCCAACTTTGAGCTATCTGGAGCAGGTCTGTCAGTTACCGTGTATTAACGGAGGGTCTGCAGTTCTTACGGTGGGCGCTAGGCTTGGTGTTGTAGGAGGAGACAGACAGAGGGCTTATGGGCTTTAGCAAGAAGCTTCACGTTCATCTGCAGGATGAAAAATATATCTAAAAATCTCCAGCTAGACCAGCATGAAGAGGTTCCCCTGACCTAAGCTGGGACATCAGAAAGTAATGATTGCTGTGGATCAGAGCACTTTAAATATAACGCCATGAGATGATGATGATGATGACGACAAGCCGAAAACCTCATTGATCACCTTGGGATTGCTGGGGATCACCACATTAGTTTGAAGAGTTAAAAGGGAAAGAATTTTTTAAAAAAGAAAAAAACCCTAACCTCCACCTGTTAGTCAGTTGAGGAGCCCAAAAAGAGGGATTCTTGGGAGTTCTTTCATATTTCTTGCACTAGAACAGGAAGCCTTGGTTTTCTGTTTCTTCTCCATGCCAGGTTGGCCGACTACCCGTGGGAGAAGGCGGGTTTCTCTTCTGCAGGCTACCTGGGCCGGGAGGTGCCTGCCTGGTGCAGACGGTGGATTTGGCTCCTGGCTCCACCTCTTGCCAACTGTGTGGTCTGGGGCGAAGGCCACTCAATCCCTGATAAAGTAGGGCTAGTGGTAGCCACCTCTTAGCATTATCAAGTTAGAACAAAAGATGAAAAGTCATATGCTAAGTCCCTTCCCCTGGTTATTCACTCAGAGCAGCACGGAGGGTCTGGTCACCAGTTTGAGGGGCACCGCAAGGTTTCCGTGGAGTCTCCAGCTTCTCTCTTGCTGTGCTTTTGCAGTCACACAGCCCAGCACCTTGAAGGATGTGACCAGGGCCCTGCTTCTCTCCGTTGGCATCACTGGGAAGCCCGAGTGAGAGAGGAAGCGGGAGCATGGAGGTTGTCTCCCTGTTTCTGTCACCCAGGGGCGTATGCTCAGCGTCAGACGCCTGCCGGTGGCCTTTGGCTCCCTTCTCAGACCCACTGGACCTGCCTGTGTCTTGACCACCAGTTTTGACATAGTGAAAAATAGTGTGTGGTTTGAAAGGACCTACCCTTCACCGTTAACCACGTGTTCTAGAATGATAAATAAGTAAAATACAAGGAATTGTTGCTCCATCTGTGAAATGGAACTTTGAAAGTCTAAAAATTGGGTACTTTTGGTTTTGGCAAGGCAAACTTATTTTTAGCTATGAAACAAATATCAGTGTAGGAGAGCAAAAGTTAGAGGCCTGAGCTTCAGGCTGGAGAGAAACGGGGGTCTCTTGTTGAATTTCTGGGAGTGGGCTGAATGTGCTGACTGGTGACTTCTGCCTCCGTTTTAGCCAAGGTGGAGTCCTCAGAGGCGTGGAAAGGTGGGTATCGCTGGCAGTCTCATCTGGTACTCCGAGGACTGCTTCCCGTGGGCCAGGGCTTCCCCTGCTCCCCGCGCTTGCTCTTTGGGATCTATCGCCAGCACCATGGACTGTTGTCCTGATAGCGAAGCTGTTTCTGTTCCTGCTTTTCTCAGATTTTTATTCTGATGTGTTTGATTGTATTCACAACTGAGCAGAACCTGGTGGGGACGGAGGATGGCATGCCCGAGACACTGACGACCCCTTCTGTGTTGCTGTCACAGCTCACGTGGAGAACGAAGAGCAGTACACTCAGGCTCTGGAGAAGTTCGGTGGCAACTGTGTGTGCAGAGATGACCCGGATTTGGGAAGTGCATTCCTGAAGTTCTCAGTGTTCACCAAGGAGCTGACAGCGCTTTTCAAAAACCTGGTAAGTGTTTACTATGTGCGTAATGCCCACAGGTACAGTACTTCACTTGGAAACGTAGCTCAGTAGAGGATGCTTATGGTTTGTTTGATAAACTAGGAATAAATTTCATAGCTCCTCTGGTACCTAAGAGAATTGTATGTTCTATACACGTGGGTTCAATTTGTAATAAAATTTAAAATTGTAATTTTTAACCTTAACAAGACTTTTTAAATTCCATTTGGCCTTTGAAATGTACAGGCTGTAGGACAAAATGGGTAAATTCACTCATCTGCTTAAGGGCCTCTGACTTGGATTTTTAATAGTTTCTAATCTGTGTAGAGTAGTCTCTGTTTCTGGTAATTATAGCAGGCATTTATACTTACAATATTTAATAAATATGTCTCAGACCCGTCTTACAAAGCAAGGTAACCTATAATCAAAGCACAGAAATTACCATGAGTATTTAAAGGTCTTTTATGCTCCCAAACGTAGAGCCTAAAAAAATGCAGGACTGAAAGAAACGTCTGGCTTTCTAAGCAAGTAGAAATACTGCCTGTGGTCGGTGCTTGGTAATGTTGGGAGAATCAAGTCTTTCTTGTTGCTTGGCAGCTCTGTGCAGTCGTGGCGGGAGCAGAATTCTGAAGAAGTGTGCAGACTGGGAGGGCTGTTGGGACCCTGCCCGGCTGGGGTGGACCCTGGGGGTCACTCCAGCCCCTCCTTCCTATTTTCCTTCCCCTGAGTCTCCTGACGGTCATGGAAGACCAGGTCGAGAAACCAGTACTGCGTTCTATGTAGGTTGCAAACAACAGTGTCTTTTTCATTTCTCCTGTGAGGAAGCTCATAACAAGTGAAAAAATAGCTCATTCTTGAAATGGCGATGATGGTGGGTTTGTAAGTGTGGCCTTAGAAGGCAGAAACGAGAGAGCATAACGTGTGGGTTCACGGGAAATGGAAAGAACAGGCTCATTAAGGCTTTTGGATGCACCCCCCCCCCCCGCCGTCTTCACTTGTAAATATTTCTGTTGTAAATAGTAAAAATAAAAAGCTGTTGCTCTGCCGAAGTTTGCTCAGAGGAATTTGAAATCTCTTGAGACTTCGGTCAAGTTCATCACCCTTTGTCACTGCCCCAAACAGCGTGGCGGCTGCACGCCGAGCCCTGGAGCCTTGGCCTGCCTCGCCCCGATCCCTGGGTGCTGGCAGGCGTGCATGGTGGGCTCTCACCACCGAGTCAGAAAAGATGGGACTTGCTTTTTAAACTGAAGAAACTGCATGGTTCCAGGATAAAGACTATAGATGCTGACATGGTGGCAGCTCCTCGTGAACAAGTCAGTTGGCTGCCTGGTCTCCAGTCCCTGGGGGATAAGCCTAGCACCTTACTCCTCAACAGAAAGGAGCAGCCTCCAAGTGGGAGAGGCCAGAATGAGTGGTGGAGCAGGGGGAAAAAGAGCTTGGAGGAAACAGACAATGCAGAGCAGAAGAAAACTTTAAAGAAACTGTGTTTAATTTCTCAGAGAAAGTAGAAAACATCGGATCTGTCAGGGAAGAGCGGTATGCAGCTTGCTAAAGGAGGCCACGGAAGACAATTATGTAAGAAAATACAAAATTAAAAATCCAACGAGGGGGCCGGGCGCGGTGGCTCACGCCTGTAATCCTAGCACTTTGGGAGGCCGAGGCAGGCAGATTGTTTGAGCTCAGGAGTTCGAGACCAGCCTGAGCAAGAGCGAGACCCCGTCTCTACTAAAAACAGAAAGAAATTAATTGGACAACTAAAAATATATATAGAAAAAATTAGCCGGGCATGGTGGCACATGCCTGTAGTCCCAGCTACTCGGGAGGCTGAGGCAGGAGGATTTCTTGAGCCCAGGAGTCTGAGGTTGCTGTGAGCTAGGCTGACGCCATGGCACTCTAGCCCGGGCAACACAGTGAGACTCTGTCTCAAAAAAAAAAAAAAAAATCCAATGAGGAGGGTTGGGGTAGAGGAAATTGCTCAGAAAGTAGATCAAAAAGACCAAAAAAAAAAAAAAAAAAAGATTAAAAAGTGGGAAATAGATAAAAGACAAGGTTTAATCCTTAAGGTCCGACATCCAGCTGAAAGGCATTTCAGAAATAGAACAGAAAGAGGAGGACATCACTGCGTCATCAGTGCAGCATCAGAAAAGAACTTCTGCAACAGAAGGATGGAGTCTCCAGACTGAGGGGCTCGCAGGTGTCCAGCACACCCCAGGGCATCTCAGCGTGTGATCGCAACAGACCTTAAGAGCTTCCAGAAAGCACACAGAGGAGTCAGAATCCCAATGATGTTGAACTTCTCAATAGCAACACTGCAAACTTTAAGGCATGGAGCAATGCCATTAAAATCCTGAGGAAAATAACTCAACCTGGAATTAGACCCAGCCAGCTGAACATGAGGGTAGAGTTAAAGATATTTTCAGACATGTAATACTCAAAAAGTTTAGCTCCCATGTGTCAGTTCTCTGAAACTCCCAAAGGGTGTGCTCAAGTGAAATGAAGAGGAAAGCCAAGAAAGAGGAAACAGAGAGTCAGGAAACAGGATCCAACACAGGCAAGCAAACAGCGGGAGGGGATCCCAACAGGATGGCAGAGGGAAGTCCCTCGGGCCGCTGAGCAATTGAACTAGAAAGCAGCTGGCCCAAGGTGGCTGTGGGGTAGGAGCCAGGTGGGAGGAGGCCTGGGTTCTGCCCCTCGCACCCAGGCAACTAGCTCCTTTGTTCAGCTGATTTGTAGACCAAGATTTTCTCCCAGCTGTAAAATGGAAATAATAATGCCATACCTGATTTTGTGGATAGAATATAGCCAACTGGTTGCTCTTACACCTTTTAGCTTATTTAATCCTTATAACAATCTCATAAGGAGAATCAGTGTTATCCCCACTTTATAGATTAGATAACTGAGGCCCTGGGTGGTTTAAAGAGCTGATGTCTCCCTTGGGAGGCACGGAGTCCTTGACTGCTTTCAGATGTGTGCCTCCAGGTATACACAGGCCACCGGCAACATTCCACACTGTGGAATCCAGATGAAACTAGCTTGTACTCAGTTATCAACACGGGCAATTACACAGTTAAATAAAAGCAGCCCCTTCTTTTTCTTTTTTATGTTTTCCTGCCAAAGCAGAAAGGGCAAGGCCTGGATGTGACTGCTACATTGCTCGCCACCCTAGCCTTGCCACTGTGGTACTTCAAAACTGACTGCAAGTCCTTGTTGCTATCCAGCTTTCCACAGCGAGTAGAGACATCAGCAGCCATGGTCCGATGAGCACCGTGGCGTGGCAGGCGCGGGCTAGGCGTGAAGGAGAGTCTGCCTCGTTTGCTCCTCGGGACAGCTGTGCAGGGTAGTTGATGTTACCGTCATCGTAATGTAGAGCTCACACACACGTGAAGTCACTTACTGGGCCCTTAACTAGTGAGAGACGGAGTTGGGATTCAAATCCAGAACTTAAAACTCCAAACCCACGTTGTTCCCATTGTGACGTTTACAGGGGGCAGGGCTCTTGTTAACTCCTGGTGGGGGTGGGCTGGTGTTGGACATAAGGGAAAAGCGTCGTGTAAGAGAAATGCAAGATCAGGCCATGCCACCGAGGGCCACAAGGGAGCCTGGTGACCTCAGTTGCCTCATCGTAAAACAAGGATGGTGACACCTGCCCACCTCCTGGGACAGCATCAAGGTGACATGAGGGAGTGGAAAGGGTTTTTGTAAATTAAAAACGCAACACAGGCGGCGTTTTCGTGTTGTTATGATACGTGAACTTACTTGATGGTAGCTGTAAGTACATGAGCGTTTAGTTTCTGCTTTCACTTTATGGAGTCTGGATTATTGATCCTATTTCTTGGAAAGGATCAAAGAGAGAAAATCTCTTATTTTAGCCAAAACTAGCACTCACCAGGCCTGATTTTTCCAGGCAAGTGCCAGTGTGGAAGCTGCGTGACCATAGGAACGCCATGTGGCAGCTCCTGAGAAGCTGGGCTGAGTGAGCTGATTATAGGAGAGTTCTCCTTTTTTGGAATTTCGTATACCATCCTTCTTCCTATTTTTGGTCACATCTGTCCTATCTCATATTTTCCAAGCCTTGCTTTTGCTTTCCCTTAGGGCATTTAAAAAACATCTCAGCTCTGTATGGCTAAGCATCTCAATGCTACCTCCTGTCCAGAAAGAATAACAATTACCACCTACCTGCTTTGAGGCATGAAGGAATGTTTATAAAACAGTTGGAAGATCTCCAGAGAAAGGCCAACTTCATATAAAGTGAGATTTTCTTACCAGTGGGTGAGAATCTCACCTTCAGAAAGTCCATGAATTTTCTCTGCAGTTATGCAGGATAAAGGGAGAAACAAGGCAGCTCCAGAAATATAACGTGTGAAATCAAAGTGGTCGTAAAGTGAGCCCAGTTGCTGGGATTCTTTTTCTCTTCCCAGGTGGATGTGAGGATTCTGGAAAGACTTTCCCAGGGCCTCCTCTGTGCTCAGAAGTGGCTTTCTAATGAAAGGCCACGTCGCAGGACAGATTTCCAGAAGGCTAATGACAGATGCGTAGTCTCTGTCTTTGCTATCAGAGAACTGGCAGCAGAAGATGTTTACAGTTCACAGAACCCGCTCTGTGTGGGGACCAGCATCAGCTGAAAGCAGGGGCTGGTGGATGCCGAGCCAGGGATGGGGTTGGGCTGTGAGATCCAGTGACCTTGGGCTGAGGAATTTCACTGCACCCACACTGAAAGAGGAACCTGAAAGTTCCACCCAGCGGCATGCAAATAAGTCGTCACCTTTTTAATGCATATGATCCAAGTTAGTAGACGTTATAGCCCTAGAGTAAAGGGAGCTAGTAAGGTTCTATTGGTATGAGTGGCAGCTTGTGGTTTTGTATGTGCTGTGCCTGGCACAGAGGCGTCCTTTCCTGCCCGCATTGGTAACATTACAGCAGTACTCTTTGCCCAGTGCTGTCGGGCTTGGGTTAAATGTGATCTTATTCTCCAAATTAGCAAAGCTTGTCTCATCACTTCATACAGTGAT